TGCACATTTGTTGCGGTCGCGCTTTTTCTCGCGCAAGAAGGGAATAAGTGAAGGCGAAAGAAGTGCGATTCGCTTGGAAAAAAAGAAAAGCGTGTAACACGATTTGAGGGAAGAGAGAGAGAGAGAGAGAGAGAGAGAGAGAGAGAGAGAGAGAATGAAGGGCGCGCCACGCGAGCAAATGTATGCATGCCGTGCGGCGGGGCGTTATTTACGCGACAATTAATGAGCAGCGAGACTTTGCGTAAATTATGGACATCACGTACCACGGTACCGAGTGTTCTCACGGAAGCGGCGAGCGGAAACGCTGTGAAACGCGAGCTGCTACCAAACAGCGGCGGAGCGAAGATAAAGCACAGGGTGAAAATGTCAGACGTAATCCTAAATATTCGCATTGTCTCGTATCATCAAAAAGGTTCTGTTACCATTATGATTATGCTACTGCAAAAAGCAAAAATGTTACTTTCTGCAGGGAGATGCGCTAAAGTGGTGTTTAAAACGCAAAGCAATACTAGAGATTCTATAGTATAACAGTAATGCGCTAAGAGTCACGTAATCATTGTGACATTTTTTAATTAGCTGGAATGAAAATCGTATTCTTCTATCTCTAGCCTTGATTTTATGTCTAAAAAACAAAAAAGATAGACGCAGATTTGAAAATAATTTTGTTGAATTACCAAAATAATTAGGAATAATTAGGAATCTCAAGCATAATGAACGATGTTGCAAAAGATTTTTACAAATGCAAAATCGTAATGTAACAAAATAATCAACGCTTTTGTGTCATTCTATTTTTGCCCCATTATTCTTTATCATAAAAGATAGTACAATTTTCATTCTAAGCAAATATCACGATCACATTGAATTATATCAGGTGGACATTAAAATTGTCAAACATATAAATTTTTCAATCATCATATATAAATTTCAAATACAATTATAATACAGCGCACATCAGAAAGACAGGCATTTTATATATTAAAATTCATTTGAAATAAAATGTATTTTTGAAAAATAATAAAAGTCACGCGAAATTAAATTTTTGCTGGGATTAATCCAATTGCAGAAAGAAATTATTTCCGACAGGCATTAAAATTGTCGAACACATAAATTTGATATCGAGTTAAGAGGATTGAAAGCATCGTTCCTTAAGAGAAAGTGGAACGAACGGAGGCAAGTATGCAATTTTTATGACACTGCTTCTGTAAATCCTGTCGATTCAAGATATATATAAGGGAGGAAAAACATATACTAGCAGTGGAAAAGCAGGTCGGTAGCGCAAAACTGTCTGGGTTCTTTTCAACGTTATTTACACACGTGGCGTATTGCGCTTGAAGTATGAGAACAAGAGTCCACATGGCCGGAAAAGAAATAAATTTGAGATTTTGTACTTGCGAAAACTTTTTGCAGTATTGCGCATCTCATTATGCTTCAGATTCCTACGTAATTATTCTGATAGTGCAACAAAATTATTTTCAAACATATATCTAATTAAATTTTTAGATATCTCAGCAGAACCGTCCTTTTCATATAGTGAGACAGAAATAATGATTTATTTTCGAAGGTACAAGATACCGGAGCAAAGATTAATGACTCTATAATGAGGCGGATTATAACATCTATATATATTTTGCCATCAAATAAATTTCTCTATAATTAGACATGTGCCACTTTTACAATTGGGTCGATTCGCGACCGACACACGCATTTAACTGTGTAATTGTAGACTGTAATAATATCACAATATGTCGGCTATTTTTAAACGCTTATTATAAACCTGGACAATTAATATGATTACGTAAATTATATCACGTGTAAAATAGACTAAATTAGATTCATATTGAGTTACACGTCTGGGATCATATATGCTAATTTTTGTTTCTCTTATACAAAAACGAAAATAACGAAAATAAAAATAAAAATGAAAAATTTAGTTGCTCCAAATCAATTTGTCTACGATCAATCGTATCGATTAAGAAAAAAAGAAAATTTTATTTCCCTTTTAATATTATTAACAAAACCGCGCGGTAAAAGTTAATGAAATACAACTTAAATCTCGTCTTTATCATTTATCTCACGTCTCAGACTTCTAGACTTCTAATGTGAGAAGTAAGAAAGATTCTTGCAGTCTTTCATCAGCGATTAACATTTCTCATCACGTTTAGTGATTTCTCAGTTCTTTCTGAGTTTAATCATGATATCTCGTAATTGAAAACTTCAACTAAGTAACCTTTCATCTATTAAAAGTCAGACACAAATATCGAAAAATGTCAAGATACCACTTTGATTTGTTAACACTGCGACACCGACTGTTGTTGCAATGTCGAACACGAGGGGACTATCGTGAGGTGCGAGGTGTCTCGGCCATTCCACTTCATCGAAAATCGACAGTTGTCGAATCGGTTATTAGAGGCGTCGTGGCCACGCGTGCACCTGTACGCGCCAAATAGCCCGAATTGATCTTAACGTCTCTCAGAGCACACCCGGAGGGCGCGAGCCTTAGCATTCCAATAATTGCATGTCGCGTGCGTGGGCACAGAGTTAAACCTTGCACACAAGCCGTCACTCAATAGGACGTTGCCTCGACGTGGGCGAGAATCAATTCAGTCGCTGGACACGAAGTCCTGTTGATTTGATCGCAATTAAACCGGGGCGAACGCATTGCAGCTACGATGTCAAACATGGACGAGTGACTTTAAATTTAATGTTACATCAGATAATCCGACATGGCGCGATTATTTTCCAAATAATTTTAATTTTTAATAAATTTTTAATCGGATTTATTAAAGAGATTAATTTAATTATAAGAAATAACGATAGCCTTTAATCCTAAATAATTGAGACATTTATTTGGAAAATTTAAGCAAGAATCTAAATAAAATGTCTGCTGATTATGTACGAATCACATTTACAAATTCATTAGAGATAAATAATAATATTGAATTAAAAAGGAACAAATGAAAAAAAAATAAAGCTGCAAAGTAGATAGTTTATCGTTTGAGAGTCTTGTTCGCGTTTGACCGAAATTATGTTACGGTTATAATTGAAGATGCCGATCAATGTCGACGTCACTCGACGTCCTTTGTGGGCTCGAGAAACTACTAACCAGAATTATATTGACGTTAGGAAACACTTGGCAATGCACGATCAATCGTTATTACTGTTTTAAGTACCGATTATTTATAACATCGAAGTCGTACTCGACCTGTGATAGAGGTCAACGTAAATCTCGGTTAATCTTCTTAAAGAAGATTCATACGTAATATATCGAAGAGTGACAAAGATAACAAAATTAAGTCACCTATTTATGCAAAAGATTTAAAGACTTAATATCAATGTTATTGTAATTATCGATGTTTTACGATATATTTTCTAATGTTCTAGTATTATCTCTTTTTTATTGCATTACAATATTCTTTAATCGATAGCATTATGTAAATTCTTTAGTCTGTCATAAACAAATGCCATAAGTCATATTTTAATATATTATATTTTGTTAGAAGTTTAGTCATATTATATTTTGTTTTAAAAGAGAAACCTAGTATACTTGACAATTATTTTTGTTAACTAATAATTTTGTGTAACTCTGTAAAACCCATAATCTTACAAATATTCCGTACATAGTTTATGGAGAATTCTGCTTTCGGGTATTAATTGTGACCTAGAGATATCTGGCAGACTGAAGGAGTAACTTCATAGTGTAATCAGCAAAGAGCCTATTTGAGCAGTAGCCGGTTACGTAATACCACATATTTGCAACGTGTTCTCTTCACAGCTGGTGGTTCGTCAGATAATCCGGATTAAGCCGCAATTTAAATCGGGCTGTACGACCGGACCGAGGTTAGATTTAGTTTAAAACTCTCTAGCATTACGTGTCGTGGATTCGTAATGGACGAGCACAGAACGAAATTTGGACAATTTAACCGAACAGAAATATTTTACATGATACTTCTATTAAGCAGTCAACGTGAACTCTATAATTTTGTAAGTGTAGCTAATTTTACTTAAAATTCCATTATAAATTCGAAGCGATGAAACATTGTAGAAAATAATTTACTCTTTACGTTCAAGATTTTCTATGTAAATATGTACATACATTTTTCCAATATCGAATTTGAATTTTAGATTCACGTAGCTAAACAAAATATTCTTGAAATATACATACAACATAGAACATAAGTGTGCAAATATGTGTATGTGTATAACCATGTAGAATATTTTTGTCCGCCTGCATCGAGCAAATTTCCCATTGCAATGCATGGTAGAAGAGAAGCGCAAAAGAGAATCGCGAAATTTAAAACGCCCTATAAAATTTTTCTTCGTCTTGTTCTGCAATAAGGAAAGACTTTTGCATCTTTACTTCAACGAAGTTGCCGAACGTGGAAAATGTATATATTTCCCGCGCAATATTCTCCGGGAAAATACGCTCAGCGTTTGTACAGCATAGATCGTGTGTGATAGAAATGATATACGAGCTATATTTTTTTATTATTTCATGCGATAGACCGCTGTTCCCGTGCGAGCAATACGCGCGATCGGCCATTTCACGAACCGCTTTCAAAAGCACGGTCGTATTTTTCTATCGTGAATTTCTACTATATTCCGTAAAACTTCAATTTCACGCATCAAATACCCGCAAGCATAATTCATATCAATAATCGGAATTTAATCTAACGTTAAAGAAAAGAAACCTTTGTCCGAGCAATACTATTTTAATTATTAAAGTCTGATAATTAAATTTAATAGTGACTGTAAGCAAAATAATTTTAAATTCTTAATTAAATCAAAAATTATCTGCCCAGATTTACAATTTTCTCATAAAATATTTTCAATATTTTCGCTGCGATATGCGATAATATGACGCGGAACACTCTACGTACGATGTTTAAGCTCTAATGGAATCCTGTCGTAGCTTGAGGCGTTTAGTATCAGCGGTTCGGGAGAAAGCTCGAGGGACGAAAGTTACTGGAAGATAAAAGTGATAAGAAAGTTTCGGCACTTACCGTTCGGCACCGTCGGCGGTTTTTTCGTCTGTACCCTCGCCGTTGCGTTGTTCACCTGTCGAGTTAAAAAAAAGCAGACATTAAAACAACCGGAACTTTTTTCCGAAAAAGACTATACATCGCTCCAACTATAACATCGCTCATCTTCAGGATCCGCACGTGGCTATTTTTTTATCGCAGAAAATCTTAAAAAGCCGAAATAAAACACGAAAAGATTTCAGGAAGTTGATATTTATCAGTGAGACTAATTAAATTTCAAAGAGTTATTCAAATATAACACCTGACTACTTGATTAAAGTTAATTATTAGCAATAAAATAATGGAAGAGAGAGTTTTCACTAAAATATTCACGAACGTGTAATGATAATTATCTGAAGTATTAATGGAACAAATGTAGTCGCATAAAAGCGATGTAATCATCATAGAAAATGCGTCTGAGTCGAATAAAATGTGAGAAACTTTGACAATTTCACGGGGCCGCGCGCGCGGATCCTGTAATCAAATATGCATTGTTCGATGCAGAATCCGATTTGCAGGATGCAATTTGCAGCTCTGCGGCTGACTTTGTTCATTGAGAAATTGTGATTTCGATTCAAAATACGACAATCATACATATTCCTGCATCGAACAAGCGAATTATGAGTAATATTTAATAAACAATTAAAAATTATGTAGACGGTTGCACGTTATTTTCTCCTAATTGGTTTTCTTCAATACAATCCGTTTCAATTATATTTGTATATCGAATTTGTGTGAATTATGATCATTGTTTCACGCTATATTGGTCATACAAATCGTATATATCGTATATATCGTATATTGTATGTACATATATATGCATATGTATACGTAATAGGTATTTAAAACGTGCAAACGCTACAGTTTTCACTTGAATTCAGATTTTTTGTTATTTAATTTTAACTTTTGATACGTAAATTTGGAACCAAGTATGTATAAAATTAATCAATTTAGAAAATAATTAATTAAGAATTTGTGACATTTGCGAAACGCATATTTTGAAATTATCATCAAATTCACGTATCAATTATTATATAACTCTAATATTTCGAAATACGTCCAAATTCAAGGAATGTTTCTGATCTTAATATTAAAACATATACAACAATATATGAAAATCTCTTTCCAAAAAGAGATTTTCTCTTTTAGTTTCTAACTTCCAAAATAAAGAAAACCTTTTTCAGTATATGACAAATTGTGAACAAGATATGATTGAACGAATGATGATGAAATTGAACGGGAAGCTTGAAATAAAAATAGTTTTTCCATAAACATTATTCGAATGATAAATGTACATCAGACATATTTTGCACGTCACATATATTTTGAGATTGAAACTCAGATCTTTATTTTCAGAACAAGAAGATGCCATTTATTACATTTGGCATTAGCGTTATTTCAGAAGTTAGAAACTGCAAGATTCTTCGCGGTCGACGAATTTAACGCTCTAGTAACGCTCGATAATTTATTATCCGATAATGCTCTCATTATGCAACTTAACGTTGATTTGTCGCTTTCTAATAAGCATTACAATGTTTCACGATTGGCGTATCGATCCGTGAGCTAAATATCGACAATAAAATGATTTTAGCCACCATATCGTGTATCGTAACTAATATAGCGGCCACGTATAATACACGTTTAAATAGCGTGCGAACAATTCTCGCGTTTAATCTCGTCGACCCGCAAAGAGAGCTTTACATGCGTGTCAATTGTCGAGAGAGAAAGAGAAAGAGAGAGAGAAAGAGAGAGAGAGAGAACAGAACGCGGAGAAGCATGACAATGTGGTTAAATAAAATCAAACGTGTTGTCGAAGGGCACAACTAATTTGTTTTGTTATGCACCTTACGGATATCAATTTCGCGGTACGGTTTAATGAAAGTAATAAAAAAAAAAAAAGAAAAAAGCGAACAATTGCTCTTTTACATCGGGTTTACTTCGCTTTTTCGATCTCTTTCTTGCTCTCTCTTTTCCTCCCTTCTCAGGGCATAACCGAGAAAACAATGGCACAAGCCTTCCGTCGATTTCCGATTATTTCAATTTCGCTCAAGTACCTTCGCGTCTGGCAAAAAGAGACGAGTTTCCGGGTGGATCGCGACTTGTTTCGTTCTTTATCGAACGCTTCGCTTACCGTGGATTCTGCTTTGCTTTTTGTGTTCTCCACCTACCTAACAGCCGCCCGCCTTCTCGTTTTCCTGTCCCACTTTGCGCCCACTTCAGCGGGGATACTATCGAGACACAAAGGGTCCGCGGTATCGTACCATACAGCATCGTTTTCTACATTTGAAATGTGGTACGAAAACGTACATCGTCCATCACAAATATTTCCTAACAACCGAGACCAATTGACATTGAGTTGATTGTTTGGATTTCTTAGCAATACATTTTATTTATTCTGACCGTGACTTTCCATTGAAAATAATTGTACAAATTGATGATCCACGAAGATTTAATTGTCATAACAGATAAATAAATTTTAAATTTTAACAACGTTAAAATAAATAAGTTATAGTATTGTAAAAATGATACTATTTAAAGAATACATGAAAATATAAGATTTGTAATCACTACTTGCTCAATACGTGTATTCAAATATGTATATGAAACGCAAAGGATGGTTTTGCTGAAATATCTAAAAATTAGCTAGTTACAAATCTAAAAATAATTATGCTAAACCATCAAAATATAATTATATAGAACACAGAAAATCATTCTATTGTATAAGAAAAGATTACTCAATTTACTTTTTTCCTTTCAAGAAACGATTATTTTTAAAGAATTCGTTTTTTCCATGTATTAATTAAATCACGCATATTATTTGCAAATCGGTTTTTACATCATTATATAGTTTTTAATAAATGATGACTCCTAAATCTAATATAACTCCGTAGATCTTCCACGAAACGCAATTTTCTGCGATCGTAATCGAGGTAGCGAATAAAAATTATTTATGCACTTCGTTCTCGAATTCACGATAGCTGAAACGCATCTTGAGTAGCATTCGTGTATTGACTCTTAAGAGGATTGTGAGTTACGAGGCTTACTCAGGCCAATCACGCCCGGCCTGATGCGGCGCATCGTCGAGCAATTTGCATTTTACGATCTTGTTTCCGACAACGAAGGTTTGGTGGCTGCCGTACATCTCGCGTCACAGGTACAGCATGGCTAAACGAACATTATTGGAAAATGGAAGCTGATGGTAGAATCGTCGGATGAAGACACAAAACACGCTACATAACGATGTTCTCATCATTTATCTGGAGTAGAAAATTTCAAAGATGTGACACGTGGAAAATTATTTAAATTATTGTTGGAACAGTTACAATAAATTTTTTAAAAAATCCATGTCAATCCAATGTTAACTATTGGAATTGGAAAAAAATAGATTTGAACATTCCTTTTTAAATTCAGTTTTTGTCACCGTTAAGGTACCATGCCACAAAATGTAACGTTGCAAAAATCGTGCACGGCTGCATTTTAACGAACAAACAAACGAGCGAAGCGCGAATCGACGGGATATGTAGGTATGTTCGAATCGCGTAAATCGATCCATGTCGATAATAAACAAGCGTGTCCGCACGTGAGCCACCTTGCTCTGACAAACAATTGTGGGGAATTTTTGTTTGCGAATATCGCGGCGCTCGTGAATAAGTGTATATTGCATTCAGTGGAATCCAGTCGACAGGAAGCACCACAAACGATGTGTAGTCCGAATCCCACGATTGTTTTGCAAATTACACCTGCTGATATTAATGATGCCCAGCTGACACCAACAGACAATTTCAATTTTGAATGTTATCGCTTATCTATGTATATTCCTTTATGTTGCACACTTTGGTAAAACGCTATATACATATGGTATAGTTGATCCGAAATTATATTATACAAACTGCAATAACAATGCGAGACAACAATAAAATAATATATTGAGGTGATATAATTTTGAACAATTGTGAACAAAATAAAATTTAATTTTAGCAAAGATCAAGTTCGATTCTTTCCTATTTGATTTTTTTTCATACCCTCACAATGAGATTAGAGTTACCAACCTAAACCTCTAAAAAATTGGAATATTTTATTTCGAATACTGTAATTATATGTTATAAAAACTGTAATTACATGTTACTATAATTATGATTATTATTGCTTAATGTTAGTGCTATATGTATAGTTTTATATATATAATTAACAATAAAAAATGAACTGTAATAGATATTATTATCATAAAAAGGGTTGTAATTACTATAAATTATAATAAGTCCATTTTTAATTTCAACCATGTTTATAGTAATAATAATATTAATTACAATCATTTTCAATTGCCAGCTATATTTGTAAATATAATTATACATACAGTTATTATTATTAATATTATAACAGTAACAATCATAATTATAGTAACATGTAATTATAATTACGAATACTAAAAATTTTTCTTTCAGTGCGAAATTATACTCTCTTATTTTATTGTAATCCAATATTTTTCAATATTCTCTTAAAACGTAGATATAAATTGCGAGATATGAAACTAATGTTTAGCAATCATAAAATGGATATGTATTTCTATTGAGCTGCTAATTGTAGTAACGCGCGCAGTTAATTTTAACACATTAAGCTTGATTTAATAAAGCATAATGGATATACGTACATAGCGCGCATCGAATAAAATTCGAACGATCAAGATAAAAATATGGAGATCTCTTCATATATCACATTCTCGCCCTTGATAGATCTCATCGACGTATGCCGAGGAAAGTTCTAAAGAGACAGTCATGGTCTTACGTGACTTTATTGATTCGGTAAGAAAAAAATTATGGATGCAGGCCACTGCATCCATAATATGCAAACGACAGGATTGCAACGAAAAAATGAAATTGACGGCCTTGTTATGCCACTATCTATATAGCGTGAAGTACCGCCTAAAATTATACGTAAATCAATATCACAAACTTCCATCCAGAACGCTCTTCGGTCAATGTTATCACATATTTAATCTGAAGTGCCGCTTTATATTCACATTATGTGCGATTTTCATAG